TGGCAGCTATTACAAAACTTTGCAAAATCCTGTCCCAGTGTCCAGTTGTACTTTTCTACCATCCCATCAGACTGTGGGTGTAATGGCGTTGTCCTGGTCGTTCGTATGCCAAACAACTTGCAGCATTCATGGAACACAGCTGATTCAAAGTTACGGCCTTGTTCTGAATGCAGTTCGTATGGCATACCAAAAATGAAGAAGAACTCACTAATAGCTAAAGCTACAGTTGCAGCTTCCTGATTTGGTATTGCATATGCCTCAGGCCACTTGGTGAAATAATCCATCACCACACAAATGTACCTGTTTCGAGCACAAGTTTGGGGCAAAGGACCAGCAATGTCAATGGCTACTCTTTCCATTGGTGCACCAACTTGATATAACTTCATTGGAGCACGACCCTTATGCTTGGGTTCCCTTTTAGCACAACATGTAATGCAGGTCCTGCACCATTCTTCCACATCTCGCCTCATACCTATCCAGTAAAATATCGGCTGTAGGTGACTCAATGTCTTCTTAATTCCAAAATGTCCTCCTGTTAAACTATAATGGGATTGACGCAACATAACTTCCCGTATTTTTCTTAGTATAACTGTTTGCGAGGTCGACACTTTCTCATCTGCAGTTTCCCATCTCTGGAAAAGAATACCATCTTCAAGCTTCAACCGATCCCATTGTACCCAATAGTTCTTTGTCACAGGGCTTAAGCTATACACCTTCTCCCAAGCAGGGTGCAAAACACTGGCTTGTAGAAAATCAATTATTGGCTTCAAATCTTGGTCTTTCTCCTGTTCTGCTTTAATATCTATACTTGGTTCCACTTCACCATCATCAACTCCTTCAATCACTTTGACTTTAGCTTGATGGCACCTAGTTAGTTCAACCTCTCTTATGCAGCAATGTCTGCAGTCATTTTTGCAGGGTCTTCGGCTGAGTCCGTCGACATTTCCATGAGATTTTCCTTCACTTTATTCATTATCATAATTATACTGGTCTATGTTTAGGATCAAACTGTCCATTCAAACTTCTGGCCTTTTTTGGTCAAATCATGTAGTGGAGCAGCTACATTTGCAAATTCCTTCACACATTTCCAGTAATAGGTACAGAGTCCCAAGAAACTTCTTAACTCTCCCACATTGTCTGGTGTTGGACAATCATGCACTGCTTTCACCTTGTCAGGATCAGTTCGCACACCATGCTCACTTACAATGAGACCCAAGTAAAGCACCTCTTTCTGGAACAAATGGCATTTCTTGGGATAGAGTTTGAGGTTTGCTGCTTTCAAACGCTTGAATACTTCCTCTAGCCAGGACATTTCCTCATCAAACGTTGTTGCAAACACAATGATATCATCCAGGTACACTAGGGCTATTCTCCATTGTAGGCCTTCCAGTATTTTTTCCATCAGCTTCTCAAATGTTGCTGGAGCATTGCTAAGCCCGAATGGCATCACACAGTAGTGTCAGAGCTTTTGGCCATAACTAAATGCAGTCTTAGGTTTATCTGCTTCAACCATTTCCACTTGATGGAAAGCCAACTTTAAGTCCAGAGTTGAAAACCACCTGGCTCCACTTAGGGCATGAAGAGTATCATCAAATCTTGGAAGTGGGTATGAATCCTTTTTGGTTATACTGTTAAGAGCCCTGAAGTCCACACAGCAACGTTGGGTCCCATCCTTCTTTTGGACTAACACAACTTGAGCTGACCAGGGACTATCTGATTTGTTGACTATCCCTTCTTTAATTAGGCCATCCATGACTTTCTCCATCTCTTGTCGCCTTGCCAGAGCCATTCTCCTCAGAGGGATCTTTATTGGACGGTGATTGCCTGTGTTTATTCTGTGTTCCACAAAGTCTGTGCAGCCAAGGTCATGATATTTTGAAAAGACGTCTGCATAATTCGTCAAGAGTTCTCTAACCTAAAGAGCCTGTGATGATGACAAATGGACTATGCTCCTCTTATAGATGCCAGTTAAAGGTTCTGGTAAAGGATGTCCTTTCTTTATGGTTGTATTTCTTGCTTTAACATTGACTAGCTCTACCTCCTGGCATACATCCAACAATGCCTTTTCTTTTAAGTGTCTGCTCACATTTAGAGAAATTAGCCACTGTTGTGGGTACTACTTGATGACCTGTCACAAGAGACCTTACAATCTTCATGTCTGCTGGCCTGGATGGGTCTATCACTGCTTCCACAAGCATCGGGCTTCCTTGGGGATGTTCTTTTATTCTACCCGAAATTATCTTTTTTTGACATAGGGGGTAGTTGATTTAAGTGCTGTGACATGCAAATCAACAGATGCAGCAACAACTACCACAATTTGGCCTTTGTTTTCCCAAACGTCATTTATCAAAGTTAACTACACACTTCCTT